GCCAGGCCTTCCTGGGACACCTCCAGGGTGGGCACTCCAAACCTCCCTGGGCAGCCCCTGCCAAGGCCTGACCACCCTTTCCAGGAAGGAATCCTTCACCCATTACAGTTTTCCATCCTGCCTCTGAACCCCTCAGCTCTCCAACCCAGCAGTATCACAACTGGCAGATTTACATTTTACATTACTTTGTAATTGCAGCTCATCTGAGCCAGTGGGGTGGAAGAGCTGGAATGATTTAAATGAAGTTTTTAAAATGATTCTCGAAGCATTATTGTGCTGTGTCCTCATTAATAACATTTTCCATCTGTCCTCAATATCAACACAACCAATGCCTCTCCCTGCTAAGAGATTCCCAGCAGTTGATTTAGAATTTCAGGGCACAGGAAAAGCTGCCCCTGGATCCCTGGAAATGTCCAAGGCCAGGTTGGAGCAACCTGGGCTGGTGGAAGGTGTCCCTGCCCATGGCAGGGGGTGGCACTGGATGGGCTTTAATGTCCCTTCCCACCCAAACCATCCCAGGATTTTGTGGTTCTATAACAAAATCCCCCTTCCAGACCTCAGAAGAGATGAAGCTTCTCAAAGACCACGTTTAGTATAAGTAAAATACAGAATAACAAGGTTCCCAGGAAGAGGAGGAAGGCAAAAATGCTGAGGTTTTCAGCCACCACTTCCAAGAATAAAGCTAATTTTTCAAACATTATCTTGCAGCAGAGCAGCGAGGGAAACTCCTGCCCCCAAGCCCTGCAGTCTGGCAGTGTTAGAAGCAGTAAAAGCAGGTTTTTATAGCAGAAAACAGGATGCAAATTTTAGAAATCATCTGCACTGCCAGCCTTTCCCAAAACTGCCACAATAAACTGCTGTGGTAGGACAATGTTATGGAGGCTGAGAATGCAAGGTCTGAATAAGGGGCAGAGCTGGAGATGTAAAACCTTGACTTGCTTTTCTCATTTACTAAAGAAAAAAAAAAAACAAAAACACTTCTCTGCAGTTACAATTTGGTAAAACAAAGCAATTGTTCAGCATTTCTTGTGGTGAGTCCCCACATGGCCCCTGCTCATTCCCCACCAGCCGGGCCAGGCACGGAATGAACAATATTTAATTTTCCCAGGGGCTCGAAGCCACAACATTCATCACCACTCCATCCAGCCGCCTCCAAAGCTCTTAATTCACTTCCACGGCACCTCTGAGAGACAAAATAAACATTGATCCGACAAAAACCCCTCAATTCCTGAGCCAGAATTTTCCTACCAGGGCTGCCAGTCTCACTTTATTTTAGTGAAATCTTGGGTAATTCCAGGCTCTTTTCCAGACTGATGGGGTGTCACCCCAAAGCCTTCCCTTCTCCAGGCTGAACAATCCCAGTTCTCCCAGCAGAGCAGCTCCAGCCCTCAGACCATCTCTGTGGCCTCCCCTGGACTCCAACAGGTCAAAGTCCCTCCCTTCCCAAATGGCCACTTTCTGTAAATCAGGATCAGCACATCCTTGAACAGCCCCTTAATCTCTTGCCACTCTTAGGACTCGACAGGAATTAAGTGTCCTAATCCCTGAGCCAGCCAGAAATAAACTATTTGCAGAAATTCCTCACGGAAAACCAGGAGAACTGCCCAATTTCTCACCCAGCTCTTCCTCATTCAGCACAGTAGCACAGTTGGAGTCTGAGTCCAGCTGCATCCTACAACTGAGATTACATCTTCCAAATTAATATCAAAACTATTTCATCTGATCTCCAAAAACCTGTGAGACTGAAACCTGTGCTGGCCATTTGTGCTCCCAGGGACACCAAACTCACTGATGGCATCTGGATGCCTGGATAAGGAAGGATCCAAAGCCCAAACTGTTAGTATGGGAGGATGGTTTCAAACCTAAACAGGCCAATTTTTTTATGGAATGAAACCTAAAACAGAGCTGAACATCACTTTTCAAGCCAACATTGCTCTTAATGCCACCTTAAAAGCTTAATGAAAGACTTCCAGAAGCTGGGCCTGATAAAAACATGGCTTAATATAACATTTGTGATAGGCAAATGTGGGGAGGAATTCCACACCTCCTTCCTCTGCCAGATGTGGCCACATCTGCCTGCATCAGCTGCTGCCAGCAAGCTGCTGTGCAGCATCAGCCAGCAGTTGCCTGGCAACGGAGGGGCTGCTCCTGTGGGGACCAGGCTCCCAAAATCCCTCCCAGGCTGCTCCCCTGGGGACCAGGCTCACCCAAAATCCCTCCCAGGCTATTCCTCTGGGGACCAGGCTCCCCAAAATCCCTCCCAGGCTGCTCCCCTGGGGACCAGGCTCCCCAAAATCCCTCCCAGGCTGTTCCTCTGGGGACCAGGCTGCCCAAAATCTCTCCCAGGCTCTTCTCCTGTGAACCAGGCTGCCCAAAATCCCTCCCAGGCCGTTCCTCTGGGGACCAGGCTCCCCAAAATCCCTCCCAGGCTGCTCCCCTAGGGGCCAGGCTCCCCAGGATCCCTCCCAGGCTG